GCAGTTACATGCATTCCACGTTACTCAACGGGCAGTTACATTCATTTCAGGGCTGGTGAGCTAGTTTATACTGTGAAATAGTGCCTTGCCGCTTTGCAGAACGTTATGCCAGCTACTGAGTCGTTTTTCAGATTGATGGTCAGGTCAGGCTCCATCATTTTGTGTCTTCACTGACTATCTTTCATTCCCCTCAGACCACCCACCGAGCCTTACTGACCTTCAGCCTGTTCTGTCATGGTCTCCTGGCCGGCTTTGCGCTGTGGCAGTGTGTCATGGTCTACATACTGCAGCGTCAGGTACCCTCTTCCGACACTCCCGGCAAGACGCGATTCCTAGAGCATTACAGCCGCCTGGCTCAGCCAGCCTCTGCTATGTACTACTTTCTCTTCACTGTCTGCACCGTCTCCGTCTTTGACAGGTGAGTCTTCAGCCTAAAGCCCACTGCATACCTTCCCCTTCTGACCAGTTCACCAGCCATCATAATTACTGACTTGACCGATCTTACCATACACCAGACGACCAGATAACATCAAACATGCTTTCACTGGATCCTGTGCCACCAGAGAGGTGTGCAAGCATCACTCTGATCACTATGCAAAGCAATAAGTTAACCAATCAGATTCACAGAGAAAGCCTTGTGGTTCAAAATCAAAGCCCAATGGAAATAAATGGCCATCTTGTGACTGGCCACCATGTGACTGGTTAGCATGTGACTGGTCAACATGTGACTGGTTAGCCAGTAACTTACCATCAACTGGTCATTATAAAACAGACCGGGCATGAGTGTGGGTAAGACTGCATTAAAACTGTGCAAGGGGTGAAAAACAGCGTCCCACTGATGTGGAGATTTGGTGAACTGATCAAATTGGGAGTCCGTATGATAGGCCTCAATAACCCAAATTCTAATGAGGAGTTATATCATACCTTGACTGATTGGAAAGATGATCAGTTTTTGCCCTGTAATTTCATTGGTACAATTCCTATGAACTACTAGGAAGGGTCAGATAGTCTTATATCAACTTTGCAAATCATCAACTTGTTCATCTACAATGCCATAATCTTCCTGTCTGGTGTGATAGGTTTGATATTGGTCGCCCTGACAAACAGTTCTTCCGTGGACTCATCACCTTCCAGTCTGGAGCCATTTCAATTTTAAGTAAGTCTCTCTATAATTATCTCCGTGGTTTGTTTTTAATCATTTTTTTACTTGCCAGGAGCCACTGTATGGTGCAGTTGTATGTTCTGAAACAAAACATCCGGACCGTACTTGTCCTTGGACTAGGTCCACTATCATTGCCAGATTGCAGTCAATTTTAAATTTTCTTGTTGAAAACCGCTCGATCACAGCTCTTTTTCATTCATATGCCCTTTTCATGAAAAATTCAAATCAAAAAAGGACTTTTGGTAATCAGTTTCACCTCACGCTTAGTGAAATACTTCTCTTGCCACATCTTGGGTATGTGCCTTGGGCATGCCTTATCAAAAGTTTCCTTTTTTTGAGACCGTCATTCCCAGCATGCACTGCGTGAAGTGGCATAGGACTCAGCAATATTGTTGTAGTTCAGACTCTTATGATGTACGGACTCATGGCTGGTATTGCACATGCCCACATTTATCTCAGTCTTTGTCTTGTATGAGGGCTAGAGCTTATGAATATCAAATAAGAGCCAATAAAAGTCAGAATTTCATGTAAATGCAGGAAAGTATCTGGAAGCAAACTTACATGTCGGTAGGTTATAATCTGGTATAAACCACCCATGTGACTCTCAACCAATAGGAAGAGGTGAACTGGCAGAGGTATTTTGGAGTGCAGTTTAAAACGTTTTATATTTAGATCATGTTGCGTTTTGACCATTATTTTTTCTCCATATATTTTATCCATTTTTAGTTTACCTCATTTCACTGATTATGTCAGCTAGTGTCGCAGCTATAGATGACAGAATAAGCTTGTTTTTCAAGACAACACCACCATACTGGTAAGTCTGAAGTTTTTTTGTCTAATGGCGTGAACAACATTGGTCCCTCCTCATTCAAAGAGTTCCAATTTGTCATTTGTACCTCTGTCAGCAAATTCATGCAGGAAATAATCGGCAGAAGAAGTGCCTGACCACAGCACAGATGGCTACTGCTGAAGTGATTGACATTAATGGGCAGTTGTGAGGAATTCAAATTCACATGTTTAGCATGGCTTTCCTGAAAACTGCGTGTACCTGCCAGTTTGCACTCACAAGACAGAAGATGGTTTGATAACTTCTTCTCAATTTTCTCCTTGGAATTCCTTGCCCCACTGAATGCCGATGAAAATGGTCAAGAGTTTGACAACACAACTGCAGAAATTTGCCGCTATTGTACAAGTGTTGATGACAGCTTGACGTGTAAACCAGTTTGTTGTAATGAGACAGTTTGTTCTCTGACGTTCAGTGCTACTTGTGGTTTCTTTTGTCCCCAGTGGTGATACCTGTCCAGAGAGTGGCTCTTTGTGGTAAGTGGGAATTTATATTTGAAAAAGGGCTTATTTCATACTTCAGGCCAATGCAAAAGCCAAGAAAAAATGTCAAGAATGATATGGAGCAAAGTTCACCGAATGAAAATGTGTTCAATTTCTGTATATTTGCAAAACAACTAATGATCCGACTTCCCAGTTTCATGTTAGTGCTTGCTATCATGCCAAGTATAAACCGGTCTTAATGTCAGTAACATCTGTGATATTTGTACAATCAAAATATGTCTTCCAGAAAGTACCGAGTTACAGCATTATGTACCTTCCCCAAATTCTTGAGGAAATAAGAAAATCCTTGTTTTGATAGTGGTTGCCCGGCAGGGACTAATTGTCCAATAGGCACAGTAAAGCACTGTGCCCAGGACTTACGAACAATTCAGGGCCCTATGAAAAATTTGAGGCCTTATGAGAATATGACAGATAGTCATAAAGTATACACATTAACAGCTCAGATTTATTTTTTGACCGAGGGGGGAAGGAGTTTTAAACCAGTTGGCACAGTACAGCTGACATGTGAGGCTCCAGTGGTCACCAGCGCAATGAAATGAGTGCCAATGCCTCAGGCAGAGTAGAGCCTATGGAACACTGGTGCCCAGGGCCTATATTACTGTTAATCCAACCCTGGCTGTCAGCAGTGAGATTATGTTCCACAAGTGTTCAGGCTCAAACCATCAGGGGAAAAGCGGGCTGCCAGCTATTAAAATGCCATGCAGTGTGTTGTTCTCAGTGGTTCCCGGCTCATTTGTGCTCGGCACACGAGCCTGTAATATCCAGCTGTTGCTTCTGTGAAATCCAGCCCTAATGATATCTCTCGGCTCCAACTTGATAAATCAGGGACAGTGAAGAAGCAGACGCACAACTCAACATCTGGGTTATTATCAACTTGATCCGAGCCATCGGTGCCTGCTTAGGATGGCTTGTTATCTCCGTCACGCCAACCACAGACTACACATCAGGTGAGTCTTTATAGCACCCTTTTCCTGGCCCATTCTGCTTTTGTCTTGAATAGCTTTGAACTATTAGACTTATTTATTAACGAATTTCTCAGGATTTTCCTCTTATGACCACCATACTTGTGGCTGTTCACTGGAAGGTGTCCATAGCATGTCTCCTAAGCCTCCGTGATGGTCTGGAAATGAGAGCCGGTTTCAACTTGCTTCCATCCAGTATTGGCAGTCGTGGAAACCAAGAAATCCTCACTCATTCATGTCAATGTTTTCACTCTGTCATCCAAGGTAGCTGAGCTCCTTCTAGTTCAGTCCCCATCTGAGGGCATTTCTTTCATGCCAAGGGTAGTAAGGTTTACTCCCTTTGCCCCCTCTTTGCTATTCTTACCACCCAGATCACCTTCACGACGCTGAGGAACCTCTGTGGGATGACCAGCAAGATGTGGAACTGAACAATGTTCACTCAACTGCGTGACAGGTATTCCATTGAGTATTACCACCTTGCGACTTGGGCTGCCGCTGTTTGCTTAATTGCCTTGACTGTCACAGCAAATCTGTTAAAAATAAAGGGGAACCAATGATAGTAACTGAGCGATTGTATCCATGTACATGCATTGATATAGTTAGAGACTGCGGCTGCCCTCTAGAAACATTGACTATGGCTGAGGATAACATGCTGTCCATTAGCACGCAGCTGCCCTCTCTGAAAGAGGATGTGGGGTATTCCAGTCCCCAACAAGTTTAGACTCAAGTCCCATCACAAAAACAGTCATAACTAAGTGTGAAAAATAACAAAAGAATGCTTGTGTCACAGTCAATATGAATAGCCTGTGACTTGGCTGAAGACAGATGACTTGTGTTGGACTCAACTGCAACACTGTTAAGGGGACAGTTGTGTACGCTGAAATTGCCTCGACAAAAGACAGGCACATAGTTGGTACAAGCATGGTACCATTCACGGGGGATCACTTTGAGGTGCTGCCACAGCTGTGCTAACTCTGGGAAAAGCTACAGAGGATTGGGAATAGAGCCGAACTCTTGAAACAACATCTCTTGGAAACTCCTTCCAAAGGGTTTTGAAGCCTGCAGCATTAGGACATTTTGAAGCTGCTCATACAAGCACAGTCAAAGATTTTTCTGTGATTGGATTTGTCATTTTTAGCCTTTTATTTTCTTTCCCGCATTTAATTATGGTTTTCATGGATCAGGTGTTTAGTCGTCTCAGATGCATTGCTGTGTGTTGGAACTGCTCACATTTCGATCTTCAGGGGGTTCCTCACCGGAGCTTACACTGTCTTTAGTGGACTACATCATTTGATAGGTGATGTCTCATGGCACTCAGTGGTTTAAAACATGATTGCTGTGAACAATTTACAGTGCGTAAGAACGTCAACTGTGAAAAGAATAATAAAATATCCATGCTACCAAATTGTATTGAATTTTATTCTGAACTTCATTCCCCGGAAAAACGCAATTAATGTACTGCTTTTACGTTTATAGAAATGACCTAGTCTGCGTTGTAATGCACAATTCTCAAAAAGATGTTGTGTCTAGCTTATTTCGCCGCTTGTACTTTTTAAATGTGAATTGTAACGTTTGGATAAAAACAAACAAAATTATATCTCTGTGTATTTCTAACATCATTTAACACAATTTGGTGCTGCCTGTTTTTTTATAAAGAGCTGTTAATAGTTGGACTTTGAAATAACTTATTTGTACAAATGTAGACTTTCGTACTTGTTTGACTTATTAATTGTTGTGTAAACAATAAATACAGTGTAGAAAGCAGTTCAGTTTTAGCGGTATGCTGGATGAAGATTTGTACGTGTCACTGTCGTCCCACAACACAGATACTGTGCCAAAGTCGGCAATTCCCAAATGTTACGTTATTGTTTTGTAAGCTGATGTAAGGGGGATGCGATAGAGATAGAGATGTGTGTGTGTTGCATTTCTTAAGGAATGGGAACGATCGTGATGCTGATGGGGTAGTTGTGTTGTCATTTTTGAGACGCTATTTGTTGGAAATGTAGCACCGGTAACCGTATGTAAACCTGAAAATGGCTGTAACATTCCCGACATAATGTCCTGTTGCAGTTGAAACGATCGATAAAATTAGGACATGTATTTATTTTACTGATTGCCAAAGTCCCTGTACCCCCGAATTTTAATGTCAAAATTGATTTCGACCGTGAGTGACTGTGTTAAAAATGAATGCCCATTTACGTGACATGTATAAGTTTAGCAGACTTGATTAGTTTTTCTGGTGTAGGTGCGTGCGTGTGTATGTGCGCGAGAAACGAAACCACACTGTCGGGGAAATAACTTCGCAGCCTTGGGGTCGACCTGTTTCTTGTTATCAGTTGTGAAGTACCATCGAGCAAAGGTCTAAAAGATGGCACTCGCAAGGAGGGCCCATTCGCGTGTTTTCGCTGTTCTGAAGCCGCCCCAGCTTTAAACCAACAAAGTGGAATCGATAGCGCGTGTTGTGTAGTCTGTGTCCTGCGCTGTGCACATCTGTGGAATTATTCTCGTGGAGACTGCTTGCTGAATCCGTAACAAACACCAATGAACTCCATCATTTTCAGCTGCTAATATCGTTGTGGTACTCTGTTCAGCTTGGTGGTGCATGTTTAAAGACTATCGAGCTGGGGACATTTCATCCACTCGTTGTTTTGCAGTTTGGTCGGTTGTGTAGTCTTGCAGACTCGGGCCTGCCGTAGCATCTGGTGTGGGACCAAATTTAAAGTTGTCCAGAAAAAACGGGTTTGATAATTGTCAAATTAAATTGAAAAAAGCAACATTGAAAAAACAAAACTGCATGCCGACCATTATGGCTGCACTGTTGGATCTGGCAGTGGTGGTGGTCTTTGGAATGGCAGCTAGCCTTCCACTTGTTGCTTGTCAGGAAGACAGTAATGTGACTCGTCCCCAAATCCCTAATGTAACAGGTAAGAAATCCATTGTTTTTGACGCTCTTTAGCGGGCTGATTTTTTTTTCGGGTTACTAAAAATGAAGTATTTCATTTACTTCCAGAATGTCGCTTAATCGCTACTTGTATCTCATCAATAAATAGTTCCTTTAATTACCCAAGAGAACCCCGTTGGTGGAATCCGCCCCCTCGACATATGTTCGGATGTCGTCGTGGTGCATTTTTCCAAGCGCTGAACCCCCAATAACTGTTTTCTCTGAAGTCTTGCAGTCATTTTGGCTCCGAATTGTATGAAAATCTGCCATCATGCCGTTCTCGCCCAATGCCCGTTTGTCCGAGGCAGGTCTGCCAAAAAATGTGTACCTTTTCCCCGCATGCACGCACACACATGCAGGCTGACACGCCTGTGGCCCTGAACTTCAAATGACTGCAAATAGCAAAACCGTATGCTGGATTCAGTTGAAACTCGACGGTTACATTAATGATGAGGATTTTACATGCCTGCTAGGTTTGAAAGAAAACATCAGGCATAGGACAGCTGAATTCTTACGAGTTGGAATCCGACCTCGGCTGGGAGATATTCAAATGAACCCGGCTCGCTCAGGGTTAATATTTGAAATACTTACCTCCGAGTGGAAGAGGATTATGAGGTATAATACAAGTTATTAACTGCTAATCCTCTTTTTAAAACATTTTGTCGCCGGCAGTAGTGACTGACGGTTTCTGACGCGACTTCGTCTGTACAATCACAGATTTAATTCAAACTCGAGCCACTATCTCAACTCTCTTCATCTGAAAAATCAAAGCCGATTGGACAGATTTTATCATTAACGGGGTCGTTACTGTTTTCGCATCTCCTTTCGTAAATCAGCTTTCTCTTACGGGCGATAAGAAACTTGAGACCTTTTGGCACCGCTGTCCATAAATTTGGCATTAGAGAGTATTCACTTCAAATTTGACAGAAAAAGGTCGTCAAAAATCCAGGTGGTGAAAAAGGGGAACGAATGTGCATGGACTGTATCCCATGCAAGATCTACAAATGGTGAGGGAAAACAAATCAAAGTTCTAACCTTCCATTCCACAAACAGTGATTCTTTTTCAATCTGCAAAGGAGAATCAGGACAGGCATCCACTGTCCTCGACAAACCAACGATGAGTACAAGCATGTCAGGTGTTGCCGAGCCTGGGCCGCACTTTAAGTTGAGCACTACTGCAGAATCAATCATCAATGTGACAACAGAACAGCCGGGCAATAAAACGACCTCTATGGCAGGCAACGAAACAACCATGCCCAGGAACTCTACTGAACTGCCTTTTAACCTGAGTACAATAGAACCAAGCATCAACGCGACGACAGAGCAAATGGGCAATATAACGACCCCTGTGCCTGGAAATGAAAC